TCACTAACAACATAAGCAAAGACATCACTAACAACATAAACAACGCCCTCACTAACAACATAAGAAAAGACGTCACTAACAACATAAGCAAAGACATCACTAACAACATAAACAACGCCCTCACTAACAACATAAGAAAAGACGTCACTAACAACATAAGCAAAGACATCACTAACAACATAAGCAAAGATATCACTAACAACATAAGCAAAGACGTCACTAGCAACATAAGCAATGACGTCACTAGCAACATAAGCACAGACATCACTAACAACATAAGCAAAGACATCACTAACAACATAAACAATGACCTCACTAACAACATAAGCAAAGACATCACTAACAACATAAGCAAAGACGTCACTAGCAACATAAGCAAAGACGTCACTAGCAACATAAGCAAAGACATCACTAACATAAGCAAAGACGTCACTAGCAACATAAGCAAAGACGTAACTAACAACATAAACAATGACGTCACTGGCAACATGAACCATGACGTAACTAGCAACATAAACAATGACCTTACTAGCACTATAAACAATGACATCACTAGTAACATAAACCATGACGTCACTAGCAACATAAACAATGACGTCAGTAGCAACATAAACAATGGCCTCACTAACAACATAAACAATGACGTCACTAGCAACATAAACCATGACGTCACTGGCAACATAAACAATGACGTCACTAGCAACATAAAGAACGGCCTCACTAACAACGTAAACAATGATGTCACTGGCAACGTAAACAGAAATGTCTCTAACAGCATAAACAAGGATATCACTAAAAGGGAGGGTGTGAAATGAACGCCGGGAGGACTCCAATGATAAATGATTAGAGGTGTGCTAAGTAATTCTCCTCTTTTTTCAAGGAGTCCTCCCTGGTATGCATCCAATGTATAATGTGTAAGCCACAACCAATGACCAAGAACAAATAATAATTGKTATAGTAAACAAGAATTATTCTTGAAGTCATTGGTGTTGTCGAGTTTGAATACCGCTGACTATGTTGTTGGAAGTAATGTACAATCAAGTCAAACCTCGGCAGTCACGTGACACTTACAACGTTGGCCCAGAACTTGGTAATAGGCGCACGGTAGAACTCTAGCAACTTTCGACCAGCACTCAACGTCTTGACATGACAGTCAATCGACTTGCCATAGAAAGTAGATCTACAAAAATGAGAACAGGTCAGTGTATTGTTCAAATTTTGCCGTTTAAGGCTGATTTACACGGTACGATTTGTCGCGCGCGACTTGTAGTATACGACTTCAATCGCGCAATATAAATGCCCCTACGACTTGTCTACAACAGTCGTACGCAACCTACGACTTGTAGTAGGATTTTGAACCACTGCTTAAAATCCTACGACTTGTAGTATGAAAATCGTATACTACAAGTCGTACGCGACAAATCGTACCGTGTAAATCAGCCTTTACAATTACGATTTTTGAAGCGCGACTCTTGGGGTGAACGTCGCGCGACCATCACCTGTGTTTCAAAAATTCTTAAAAATTGGCTGCGATTTTCCATCGCCGCAACAATCGCAGAGTTGTTTACACGTACGATTTTAGTTGCGCGATAGCAAAGTGGCGATTATCGCGCTGCAGTGTAAACGGGCCTTAAGAGGGTCTGTTTATCGCATTATAAGTGGCCAAGTGATAATCTACCTTGCTTCTACTTTTCTTTCGTAGGTACTTTTTTTGACAACTTTTTCTTTTTTTCTCTTTTCTCCAAATATTTCTTCTCCCTGTTCACTAGAGCAGCTTGAATCATTACCATCCATTTCGGTTTGATGTTCAGTAAAGGTAACAGGTAACAAGGATAATTCTCGCTTAGTCTTAAAGTCCAGGAAATAGATGGTGGGAGGTACCATTATGCCAAGAATGACCTGATGATGAAAGATCTATGTTTGTCATAATGTCTACAGTTGATTTAGTGAGATTACACTGAAGAATTCCCGGCTAACATCCCATTTTTCCTACTCATATTCCAATCACATTTCCACTTTTCTATCATAATTGACTTGTAATAGTCTTCTTCACGATTCCCTGCGCCATCTTGAAAGGTAGCCGTGCTTTTACATCGAAGCGAGACAACCGTTGAGCCTGCAATGATAGATACCTGTGAATAATTGTCTGTAGGTGTGAAAGAATGTTTCTATCATTGCACGCTCAACGGTCGTCTCGCTTCCATGTAAAGGCACAGCTACCTTTCAAGATGGCGCAGGGAACCGTGAAGAAGACTATTACAAGTCAATTATGATAGAAAAGTGGAAATGTGATTGGAATATGACAAATGGAATGTTAGGAATGTTAGCCGGGAATTCTTCAGTGCAGGATGCAGTGAAACTGGAAAAAGATGATTTGGTAAAGTTGTGTTAGTATATGTCGGCTTAGCAGTAAACATTGCATCTATCTACATTATACTATATTAAGGGGTGGACACACCACCATAAGAATCATATGTAAAGTGAAGAGTAATCGAGTGTAGTTTCACGGATTGATGASATTGATTTGATTTGTCGTGTACCTTCAACGATGGCAGATATAGGTTACGCATGGCACCCATCCAAATCTCTGTCAGCAGGGACTGACAGGACGCATGYGCTACAAACTCCTGGTGTTCAGTCATGATCGCGAGTGAGAGACACGTGTGACCGCACCAGTCAGCCAGATGATACGTCAAAAGCTTTTGAGTTGCGACTTCGTTAGCGCGAGAACACTCGTCAAGTAAGGACAAAGCAACATCTTTGAACTCTCTGTGTAGAAACGATAAATGTAAATGTTCCTTGCCAGCATGGACGTCCGTATCGTGAAAGACACGGTAAGTGTGCCACAATATATCTCGTAAACCAGAAAACTGATCTCCTAAAGCCATTATTGGATCTGATTAATTCTTCAAATTCAAACAGGTTCGACTTATCGCATATCAAACAAGAAAGCCAAAGAAATGTTGAATAGTTTGCTGTTTTTATGGTATTTATCACCCAACAAGTTTAATGGCCTCAAAGTACATTTTGATTTTGATCAATATCAATCAAAACGTAAATTCATACTTTGCATTTGCTGTTATTTGCTCGTACACGTCACCCCTCAGCTCATCTCCCTCCAGCCGCGAAGCCATTTCCATGTACAGTTTTGCGCCAACGAGGGCGCACGCGAGGTTGTTTCCACCTCTTTCCCACATGAACACCGCCATTTTGTGCATGTTACASAGCACAGCCCACAAGAACAGATCGTCGAATGGATGCTGGGATTCAGACTCCATGTGAAGAGTGAATCGAATTATGCTCTCATCAAAACCCTGCGAGATAAAAGAAAATCAAGACGTTACGTTATCACACCTGCATTACGTCATTCCACTGTGTCAAAAAAATGCCCATAGTTCCAGGAGTTTGTCTATTGTTTGCAAAGATGCCAATGGAAAATTTGATATCAGATCTATACGATTAGCCTGACMATATGTTTTGTTATCATTTCTTACATAACGTCTAGAATTTGCTAATCTGTGGTCACATGGTCTAAATGTTATGATGGCGATGATTACCTGATATCAATGTTCGTTATATTAACCCTCTGTTCTCACTAGTCCCCACATTCCCTCTTACCATAGCTAGTTGTCCGRTACGTGATCCTCCAAGCATTTTGTCAATAACACAATCAATGTCTTGAAGGGTAAAAGTCCTCAACTGAAAACAAATCGATATCCCTGTGTGTTCAATAATCGTGTTCTACAAATGTTGTATATGCCGATAACTGCAAGGTTTTGCAGATACTAACCACGTTGCTGTCTACATAAGATGTCGTATTTCAAAAGAGATATTATAAATAGCAATATCTAAACGGTTTATAGGTCAACAATCGTGAATGAAGAAAACATGGGTACAAGCTTCCGATGAGTTTCATCGAGCTTTGGCCAAAATAGGCCCACGGCTGTAATCAGCTCATTTTAGCTTGGGTACAAGGTTGCTTGTTACCTTACTGTCACCGATCATTTCCTGGAAGGCAACACTGATCTTGGAACGCTGAGAAAAAAAATGAAACTTCCATTTTAGACCTACCAATCAATCAACCGCGACCAGCCAGTCAACARTCCKACCGACCATTCAAACAGTCATTCAACCGTCAGCCAACAGACCGTCCGTCGAACCACCAACCAATACGATTCGGTGGAACGTACTCWTCTACTCAGCCGTTGTTGTTTCACAGTGACTACACCAAACACTGCTAACAAGAAAATCGAGTTTGTTTACCTCTTTGTAGAGAGTGAAGAGTCTTTCTTTGGTGAGAAAACGTCCCATACCAACACCATTCTCCAATAACAAGCTGACAAATTCAACACGGTCATTCTTCAAGGCGTCCATCATAGCGGCCTCAAGGTCTTCCATCTAAAGCATTCAAACATTGTAACGACMCACCCAAACTATAGAATATTTTGCAAGAGGTGACTTTTGAATTTGAACCCATCCTGCATATATATCTAGTGGTGGGTTAACTTCTTCTTCCATCTGATTATTCAGTCCCGTAGTCTACTGGAAGCTCGTGGGAATCGACAAAACCCCCACAAACCAAAAAGTCCCGCACCATTTAAATTTAAAAAGCTATTCTTAAATATCTTTAATTGTTCAAAATGGTCATGCTCTTGTTATGTTTTGAGAACAATTTTGTATTATTGAAAGGATTTTTGAATCWGACAATTTTGAGGCTTAGTCGCGTCCTGCAGAAGAAAACAATTTCCATATTATTACAAGACTGCATTCTACAGTGATCTGTTAGTGATTCAATCTCGTACCCAGCGCCCCTGTCCCTCTTACTGCACATGCTCGAAGAAAAACRGTGTCTAATACACGAAAATWGCTCGCTCTCTCATTGSCTCATAATTCACTGGAAAAATAGAGCACTTTAAAGGTTGYARATTTAATGTARATATGGTGTARGTGTCCAAAATGATGTAAGGRTGTAAATGATTTACATAAAGTTTASATAAAATTTACAAGATTTTGGATACTTACATTATATTGACAACTTTTTAAAGTGCGCGATTTTTTCCAGTATATACACACTTGCCGCCGGAAGTGCAAAAGATCACCGAGAAAAACAYTCAAATCCCATTGTATTTCGATACGGTCACCTTCAATTCTTTTAAAAGCATTGATTTATTAAGTCTGTCAAGTGGGCATATAATTTGTCTTTTGGGGTCTAATAAATCCCTCTTTGACATCGAAGGCCAACTTTCTCGAGTAAAATCAGCCAAATTTGACCAAAATCCGTTAGATCGGGGTACAACTGCGCATGTGTCAAATAGCCTGATTCTGACTTCCGGCTACTGGTATTTTCCAGAGGCACTGTTTTTCGTCGAGCATGCGCAGTAACAGGGACGCTGGGTAAGAAATCGTTAGTRATGCAGCGACACTTTCTAGCATTGTCAGATGATAAAGGTRCGTTCTACAGAGTTATTAACCCTTATYAAGGACGTAGCCCTWGGGCTTGCTCTCCTCACCTTCCATCGATGTGATTCTATGAAGATTTCAGACATAGCRATATCTGCTCTATTCCAAACTAACGCCAAAGACAACTGGTCAGCGGCTGACGCATGCTCAGCTAAAAGGAAATTGAGTTTAGCAACTATCGACCTCCTTTCTCCAGACCTAAAGGGAGACT